ATCCCAATTTGGCAAGTCCACTAACTTGACTTTCCATAAATATGTTGTTAGGAAAGATCTATTCTTACTCATGAATTTCCTTGGTCTGTGCTTGCATATACCCTTTCTTAGTACAAGTGTGTACTAATCCCATAAAACTCTATATTTTTTGGTTCAGGCACAGGTGGACGCTAGAGCGTACAGGTTGACGTTGCAGCTGTCTGGACGTGAAACTTTCATCCGGAATTTGTAGGCCCTCATACCTTCGAGGATGTCTAGCGTTATTGTCTAGCTTAATTTAGGCTTTAGCTAGTGGAGAATGTTCCACTAGTGTTTCTTTCAAATTTCATTCCAGACTTTGTATTGGTGTCGTTTTGGCAAGAATATGTTTAATTCAATTATGAATTGCTTCTTTCATTTGATTCTCTCTATATTAGATGGTTAACTTGTGAACGCCTATGATGTTAAGTTAAAAATGTTAAGCATGAAATAATAAAACAAAAAGTTCAAATTCCGCTAAATTTAACTTAGATGAAGTACGAATGACGTGTGTAGGCTTGTCGGCGACCTCTGAGAGGTCAATGATGCCGGTCTTGTCTGGGGTCTAGATTCCGGTCGTGTCACAAGGTCAAGATGGAGCTAGGGTTGTGGATTTTAATGGATTTCCTTAATTCTCTTTGGTTTATATCTATTAAGCTATGGGAGTTCATTATCTATGGTAACTTATAAGTGTAGAGCCAATTTCAATGTGATTACAAAGATTACAAAGTTTATGAAAAAGTCCAATTTTTACTCTAACTCAAGGGTTCTTGCATGAAAAGATTTCAAATGATTATGTATGACATTATTGAGGTTAAATTGATGTTTTACAAAGTAAATCTCCATGAACCCTTAATTTTCACAAAAATCCCTTAATTTGGCTTATGAAGTGGGTTTATTGCTTATGATCTGATGATGATGGAATTGTGTTTATATGGATCTAGATAGTTGATTTATATTGTTATTTATGTTATTCTATTGTTTATTGTTGGATAAGTAAGGAATGGTGATTGTGGCTTCTGGAAGAGGTTAAGTAGACATTATTCCCGTACAAAGTGAGAATGGATATGAGAATTGTTCTTGTGTGGTATGGTCCCCTTATAGTGGCGCTATTTAATTTTGGTCTTGTATGAATTATTATGTGAGTTATGGTACTACCATGTTAAGGCATAAATGAAGGTATAACATAAAGTTGGCTATATGAAGTGATTGTGATCTTGTATATGGTGGTGGTATATGAGAATGAATAAGGTGAAAGTTCTTATGTCATTTAGTGTAATGATGATGGATTGTGGATGGTATTTATAAGGTGATAAATATCTTGAATCGATAAACTTAGGTTCCTTTTCCTTGATGCATGAAAGTTAGGTTGAATTTTATCTATTGACTTGGTAGGCTTGAGAATCCTTTCATGAGAATGAATGAATGAATGAAAGTCTAGGATCGGTATACCTAAAGTTGGTGCCCTTCCATGAATGATAAATGAGTTATTTTAGCGTATGTGTTGAACTAGTAGACTTAAGAATGATTCCCCTTCTTCATGAGTCTAGAACCCTAAGTGAATGTGAAACCTTGAGTATGAAAAGAAGGTGAATAATGAATCTTTAATCAGATAGACCTAACATGGTACCCATTTCATGAATGATCTATCCCAATGAAACTCAATCAGTAGACCCTTATATATACCTTCTTGGTAATGGTATTATGAGTTGGTAGTCTTAGTGCTGGTACCGTCTCTAATAGACATATATAATTGAGCTTACTCTATGAGAACAAAGGCAAAGCACCGAGTGGATATGCTTAAGGTAGTATGTCTACTTGAAAATGCGACTAGACTATAAATAAGGCTTTCGCTATCCCCTAAACCGTGTGCCTACATGGGATGTGCCCTAGTTCTACCCTTGGAAAGTAGAACACCCTCGGCTGGGTAGAGTAGACTCCGAATTTCATACCTAATATTGTGGTCTATGTTGGTTAATGCCTTCTTTCATCATGTGGGATATACAATTTAGTTATCGGATAGGTTTTATGACGTGTAGGTTGTATTATGGGATGCTATCTACATATGGCACAAGTAAGCCTTGAAGATCCTAAGGTGAGTTCCCTAGGTCTTCCAAGACCATTATTCTAAGTCCTTTAATTGTATGTTGACTAAAAAGGTTCTTATCTAGAGTTGCTTTGAGGAACAATTAGGTGTTCTTGAGAGGTTCTATGGGCGGCACTTTCATGTCTTACTTAGGTGGGTCTTAGAGTATCCTTAGGTATAGAGTTTAAATGATTAAAAGTTAACTTGGTGATTATGGAAATAATTGTTATGTGTTGATGCTTGTTGAATATTTATTAATTGTGAATACTGAAAAGGTGTACGTGTTCAATGAATAAGCAAGTTCAGGGGGTAAATGAAACAAAATAAAGTTTAGGTGTACACTGAATAAAAAGCTTCAAGTTTAGGGGGGTAATGAATACTTTTGCCTTGTTTTATTAGATGGTTTCAAAGAGGAGATTTGGATAATGTGAAGGATGATTGTTATTAATGTAAAGGATAATAATATAAGTATCATTATTTATTTTTTAGCACTTAATTTCATACGTGGCACTAAAAAATAATGTGGAATGTCATGTGTAATCGTATCAATCAGATATACATTGATCGGAGGAGGAAAGGGCTTAAAATGGCGTGTTCTGATGGATTTAAGGGTCTAGTTGGCAAAGTGATGAATATGAGGGTTCAATTGACAAACATAGCCAAGAACATACAGCTCTTAGGTCATTCCGTCTTCTAAAAATAAACAAAACTTTTAATTTAAGGTTATTTAGAATTTACAAAAATATCTTTTACCTTTCTGATTATAAACATGTTACACAAAGTGTTAGAATTAAAGAATCCCCCCTAAATATAAACAACATATATATATATATATATATATATATATATACATATATATATATATATAAAAATATATATACATATATTATATGTGCGTGTGTGTGTGGAACCATAGGATCCTATGCTGGGAGCATTTTTGGGGTATAGTTCTAACATCTTGTGTGTGTGTGTGTGTGTGGTGTGTGTGCGCATGTGCACGCGCATATGTGCACGTGTGCATGTGTGTGTGCGCGCATGTATGTGTATGTGTTTTAAACAGATTTAAAATAAAGGCCTAAGTCATATACAACCCCCTAAACTTGTCTACATATTTCATTTAGACACCTCAATTCAACTGTATACCAATTGAACACTCATATTGTAAGAGATTTCTACCTATTAAACATTTTGTGCTGACATGGCAGCATGTGTGTAGTACACACATGAAAAGAGCGTGAAAGGGCATCATTTAACCAAAAAAATAATTTTCTTTTTTTTTAAAAAATAAAATAAAATTAGCATCTCTTCATCTTCTTCTTTGACTCAACCACCATTAGAACCACCTTCTCACCACTGTAATCACCGGTGTCCCACCATTAAAGTATATTCCTTTTTTTCTCGAGCTGTAATCATTCTTCTTCTCTATACCACCTTGTTTTTTAATTAAATGCGTGTCACCATATCCACAGTGCTCTTTCCCTTTATTTTTTCGGTCATCTTCTTCTCTTTTTTTTTCAGACCATCATCTTTTTTCTCCTTTTTTACCAGTCATCGAACACCACCTCATTTTTCTCCAAATTTATCATCGTCAATATCTTTTTTTATATTTAGCTTTTCATACAATCAATTACAAATTTTAATTTTTTCATTAGAAAACAATGCCACCAATCATCTTTTTCTTTATGCCAAATCAATTCAAACATGAATTGAATCGAAGCTTAAAAATAAAACATTAATTAGATAAAAAGAAGTAGAAAAACTTAGGTGATTTAAGTGTTTTTTTTGGGGAAAAAAAAGGAGGAAGAAGATGAAGTTGGGGTGGGGTGGGGGGAGGGAGGAGCAGGTCTGAGCGGAGGCAGGAACATACATACTTTAGGATTTTTTTTAATTATAATTATTTTTTACCACAAAAAACAAATTTAAGACACGTGGCTTCTTTTAATTAATTAGTTTGCCATGTCATGGCAAGTGCATCACACACACTTGACATTTTTTTTGATTACCAAAATGTGTCTAATAGGAAAAATTTTATATAAGTAAAAGTGTTCAATAGGTAAAAGGTTAAATTGAGGTGTCTAAATGAATAATGAGACAACTTTAAGGGGCCACAGATGACTTTGGCCTAAAATAAAAGTAAAACAAATAAATTGAAAGTGGAGGAGTGCTTATAAAATGTAGTTTGAACTCTTCAAACAAGTTTTTGATCAAATTCTTTTTTGTCCCACAACTTAACACTTTTCACAGCTCAATACCAAGTAGTAGTTTGTGCAACAGAAATCATCGGACTTCATCTCAAATAGAAGTTGTTGCAATAATAAATTTATGCCAATGAAAATGAGTACACATTAATTATTTAGATAGTCCTCTCGTTTGAAGTTGAGTTATTTTATTTTCATTGTTGCATCAATTTTTTTAATCTATCTTATTTACTTGGAAATTGTAATTGCATAATTATATAATTTTAACAGTCTTCCTTATATTAAGAAGAACAAAAATAAAAAAAACTTATAAAATTCGTAGCTTAAAAACTGTGAGAAAATTCATCTATTCATAGCCTAAAAAATAGTATGAAAAGTTGTTTATCGTGTCTTATAAAATAAGCCGCATCCGTTTAGGAAAAGATCACAACCATTCAAAAATGTCACAACTCATTGGAGAAACCACAACTTTTTAAAAATTTCACAATCCTTCAGAGCTGGCACTACCCGTCAATGTGCACAAAGTGTTATTTTTCATATAATATAGAATAAGTAAATTAATAACACCTATAATATAGAAAATATACTAAATTTAGTGTTTTATGTTGGTGTATTTTAGTAAATTAAAACTCAAGTTAGGGAGTTCATGCTTTTATGTGTGTAACTTTGCCAAATGAACTCAAGGGAGATAAAAGAAATTTATGAAATAATAAATCAAAGTAAAACTTTTATTAAATTTTTGCATTACAAGAGCAGTAAAAAGAGAATTAATGAGTAAATTAATTGATAAAGAATGTGCACTCTTTTTTTCTTCATTTTTCCCCATCTCCTTGTGGAGGTGATTCCCCACGTCATTGGTTTAATTCGAAGGCTTGAGACTATTCAATTTTTCTGTAAAATAAAACACACAAAAATAACGTAAAGTTTTAATTTTATTCTAAGTACACTATTATTTAGTAGAATTTAGTAATTGAGTAAGACATTTAGAAAACAAAGGAATGGTAAAAATAGTGTCGATAAATGATATTATTAAAAATATTTTTCAAAAAAATTAAAAAGACTAATAATATGTACCTCTATTATCCAGACAATCACATTCGATCTCACATTTATTTCTACAAATAGATTCGGTACAGTCCTTGACACATTCGTCGTAGCAGCCCTTGAAAAGTTCAGCAGTGGTGTTGTGCACAGTTGACATCACAACTATGCACATAAGAAATACAATTACAAGCTTATTTGCCTCCATTTTTAACGAAGGATAATTTTTTAATATTTTTATTTATAGATTTTGCTTGTTTTTTCGGACTGCTTACTTTATTATATTTATATTAGCCTTGAATGATATGATCATAATTAATGACATCTCTTTCATATTTATACAACTTTTAAACCCTTACAGTAAGGTGAAATTTGTGGATTTCCTTGTTTTTTGGAAACTATAATTAAGGTTTAATTTGCAAACTAATGAGACATCATGAGACTTGTGATCCCAAAAATTGGAACAAAACAAGTGTACCTCATTCTTTGGAGTTGTTTAAATATTTATTATTTGACAGTTATTTATTTCTAAAAATAATAATAATATTTCTTCATTAACTATTAATTTTTTTAATTGAGATGTCTATAGTCTTCAAGAACAATTACTACTCCGGATAAAATTAAACAACTAATAATTTTACAAACCTTGTAAAAGCATTTGAGAGGAAAGGAGTAATAAGTAGTTTTAGCATAATGAATACTATCATTGCGTGATTTTACTTTTATTTTCCGAAACCAAACAAAAGGTGCTTGGTAAAGGAGGTTGTATATACCTAATAGATGAATATTTAGGTATATATAATATAGGTCCACCAGGACGCCCCGTCATTCAATATTTGTCTAGTAGGGGAGTCCTAGAGAGATTTTTAAGCCAAGAATTGGGACCTTAAGAAGTGGTGCAGAGTCTGTCGATGGACCTAAGGTCCGAACAAATGGTACGTATTTTCGGTTACACAATTAATGGTTTATGATTTCAACCACGACCAACTAGGACGTCAGTGGACTGACAAACGGGCCGTGGGTTGGGGCATTAGTGAGGTTGACAATTATTTTTGTTAAGGTCATTTGGATCATTTCCTATTTATATTAGCCTAATGCTATGTTGCTTACCTTAAACTAAAGCCATATGTTAGTGTTTTTACCCCCTAATCTACCCAATTGAAATCATTCTCCCAAATTCCTAAAAGTAGAACAATTCTTCCTCTTCAAAACATTTCTCTTTCAATCTTGAAGAAGAAGGAGTCGACCAACGGTTTCAAGTCAAGCCTCCAACTTCACCATCGAAGGAAAGCTTTTGGTATCGAGGTATGACAGATTCCCTCCATCTTGTTCCTAATTCTTCGATTTACAAAGTTAGAAATCCCCAATTGAATTAAGGGTTTTTTTATTTGATTTCATGTGTTCCTTTAAATATTGATTTATTTGATTGATTTATGAATTAATATGTTTGAGTTTATTTGTAATCCACGATTTTAAAATGAATCCCTACGAACCCATGCTAAACCCATGTTTTCTAGATATTAATGATTGAAAGTGGGGTCCGAACTATTAAAGGGATTTATGGAATTATGCATGTTCTTATGAAATTGATGAGAGATGATGTAAATGGCTTTGAGAATGAAACATATATGTTAATTGTTGTGAAAGGTTTTCTCACATTAAGGATTCAAAGGTTGAATGGTCTTCTCACCTAAAATGAATCAAAGTTAAGGAGTTATTCTAAAAAAAGAGGAAAATAATGATTACCCATGCTCTTTAATCAAAAGACAAGAGTCATATGATATAAGGACAAGAGGCGATCACCCAAGTCCTTTAAAATAAAAGATGAATAAAACTAATGAATATTCCATGGGAGTTATGCTTAGAATCGAGTAGACAAGTGGCAATTACCGATGCTCCATAAACTATATCCCATCAGAGGCTAACTAAATATACATTATCTAGTGGATCTAATAAGTTGTCAACTACACCTCATTCAATCATAGGTGTTGGCGGTCCCAATCTAGTACAAACCCAACAAAAAGATTGGATAAATTTCATAGGGAGTGATACAGGTTAGAATTACGAAGTTATAAATGTGTCCTAAATGATTGCAGGAATAAAGATTATTGAAATCATTTAAATAAACCAAACGGGTTGTCAACGAATGTCAGATGTGGGATTATGTTTGTCAATTAACAACTACAACAATTAGAAAACAGGGGAATAATTAAGAAGATAAGGGATACTTTGGGATGTGATCAATTAAAGACTAATTTCTTTATATGGGTAACTATAATTTACCAACAATTGCTGAATCTTAGTGAGTAGGATATGCTATACATAGAATAACTTTCTCTCGAATAACTATTACGATTCAAGTGACTTCTCTCGAACCTCGAGAAGCATAACAATAAAAACACCTCAATACCTCAATGTATCCACTCTCTTGAGCTAGAGAGGTAGGATCAGACTAAGATTCACTCTCTCGAGATGAACCCACAACAACACAATCACTATAATCATTAATTCATAACCTTAATTCCAAAACCTCTTTCTTAAGAAAGTCTAAAACACGAAGATAGAAATGCATTTGCAACTACAATTCATAGGTTAATGCACAACTCTCAACTAAATGCACTTTAAACTAGCATTTAAATAAGTAAAGAACAATACTCATAGGATAATTAGGGAAAATAATCACATTATCACACACCCCACACCCCAAAAATGGATGTTTTTGCCACACATGATAAAATGGAAGAAACAAAAATCAATTATGTTCTCCATCATCTAGGTATTGCAATCCACATGTTTACAATGATCCAAAACGTTAAATCTTTAATATCAAACTCAAAATCCACTAGAAAACTCCTAAAATTAAGTAAAACCATATATCAAAGTTTTACAATAGAAAAATTACTTTATACTGTCTTAAATTTTGCCCTTTAGGACAACTAGGTGAGGTTAGTCGAGCATCACTAACAAAGTCGGCGATGCACCAATAACTCCATAACATCTCCAATGTTCCTTAGCTATTTAACCTCAATCTTTGTGACTTTAGAATATTAGTATCGAAATCAGTAATCCATTTGACAGTTTGCCAACTACCTATGTCCATCGCAAGTTGGTTTTCCCACAGAGTTGGCACACTGGAACTCTGGCCGAGCTGCTGACTCACTCGGTGTTTCTCTGAGTGCTCTTAGCGATTATTAGGAATAACCTTATTCAACTTCTTTGCCTTTTTTAGTTCTTTTTTTAATAATATCCTTTCCCTACTCTCTCACCTTTTTTCTGCAAATTAAAAATTTAACATTAGTTTAGAGAATAAATTAGGCACTGAGGATAATAAACTATGAGAACAAATTCTTAAATCAGTCAAAATGTAAGACTCATCAAATCCCCTAACATAAAATTTTTCTTGTACCCAAACCTTGGAAGATATGTTTAGGTCTTGTATTATTTATTTCAAGGGTAATTAGGATGACCATTTAAAATTGACCGAGTTTGCATATAATAACAGTTACCACTCAAGTATTGGTATGACTCCATTTGAGGCCCCTTATAGTAGGAGGTGTAGATCCCCTATAGGATGGTTTGAGGTGGGTGACGTTTTCCTAATAGTTCCCAAGTTGGTACACAATGCTATGGAAAATGTCTAACTTATTAGAGACAGTTTAAAACAATTCAAAGTCGCAAAAGTCATATGCCGAAGCTAGAAGAAGAGATATCGAATTTAATGTTCATGATTGGGTTTAATTGAAAATCTAACCTATGAAGGGCCTACTGAGGTCTTGCACGAAAAGGAAGCTTAGTCTCCATTATGTAGGCTCATATCAGATTTTGAGGTGTGATGGTAAGGGTTCCTGTAAAATTGAATTGCCTAATGAATCAGCATCGGTACATTTGGTTATCCATGTCTCTAAGTTGAAGAAATTTTTTTGTTATCCAAGATCCATTGGGTTTGGGAGTTAAGGAGAGTCATTCCAATGAAGTTCCAGTTGAGATTTAGATCGGCAAGTACAGAAGTTGAGAAATAAACAAGTTGCTTCCACGAAAGTGTTGTGAAGGAATCAGTTAACTGAGGGTGCTATATGGGAGGCTGAAGCAAATATGATGTTTGAATATCCTCATATATTTCCCTCTTCCCCTACTCTAGCTTGAGGTAATGAGTAACTCATGGTTTACTCTTTTAATGTCATGTGTCTCAGATTTTTCCATGATTTCCTCATATATGCATGGTCATGAAAAACATAAGTTATGAGAAAATTAGTCAACTTGATTAATTTCTATATGTTTATATTCATTTGAGTATAAGTTGCATATAGAATACAAATGATGTTTAGAACATGCTTTAACTTTGAGTTGATGTTTCCTCCTTAGGTATGTGGATTTATCAAATTGCTTGCATGTTGGGTAGTTAGATGTAGTTTCTATCTTCCTCATGATGCATTAAATTTCATTCGAGGACGAATAATTCCAAGAGGAAAAAAATGTAACACCTCGGATTATAGAAAGGGTAAAAATTTCAACTTTCAAGAAATTTGGTGCAAGTTCCTACAGAGCCATCCACAACTCGTGAAATGACCCACACACTGTAGGAGGTGTCCATGACTGGCAGCTGCGTTTTTCAAAAAAAATGTTCTAGATCCACGTCCAGGACGGACAGATTATCGTTGGACCCATGGTTTGTGGATGATGTCCATCGACCAAGGCCTCAAATTATGGTTTCTGATGCCAAATGACGATTGAACTAGATGGATTGTCGATTGTACCCTGGTCCATAGGCTGTTCTCGTTACCTGGGTCGGTAGTCAAATTGTCAAGAGATTTTGGGTCTTTTCCTAATTAATCTAACCTTATATTATATCGTTTTACCCTTCACCAAAACACCTATATAAGTGTTTTCACTCCCAAATTTCCCATTGAAAATCATCCTCTCAAATTTATAAATGAAGAAAAAGTCTTCCTCACAAACATTTCTCTCTCTAGAAAACATGAAGAAGAAGAAGAAGAAGAAGAAGAAGAAGAAGAAGAAGAAGAAGAAGAAGAAGAACAAGAAGAAGAAGAAGAAGAAGAAGAAGAAGGGTCCTTTCAAGCCAAGTCTCCAATGCCACCATTGAAGTTAAGCAATTGGCATCAAGGTATGATAGTTTTTATCCATGGATTCCTTGCATTTATGAACATCCCAAATTATCCTATCTTCGAAGCTATAATTCCCAAATTGAGTTAGGATTTTCTTCTATGTTATGGGTTCTCCTAATTATTGATCTAATTGATTGATTTATGATCTATGATTCATGAATTAATTTAATATCATGATTTTATGATGATTCCCTATGAATCCTTGTAATCCCATGGTTTCTAAGTTATGATCAAATAATGTGAGTTTTAGATTGTGAAAGGACATTATATGAAATCAAGCATGAATTGATAGAATTACATATGATTTTAGGATGAATTTACATGAGCTTGTTTCTAACTCATGTTTTCTACATATTGATACATGAAAGTGGCTTTTAGCTATGAAAGGTGGATTATGGATTTTTTCATGTTCTTGTAAAATTGATGTAAATATTGTAAGGATTCTTTGAGAGTAAAGTATGAATAATGTTGATGTTGTGTTGTTGAGAGGATTTCTCATATACACATGAAATCAGGGTTATGAAAGGATTTATTACATAATAAGGGTTCTTAGAGTTCAAAGGTCTTTCTAACCTAAAATGAATCAAGGCTAAGAAGTTATTTTAATGAATAGGCAAAAGGAGATTACCTATGTTCTCTTATTGAAAGACAAGAGGTGATTACCCATGTCATATGATATAAAGGAAAGAGGCGTTTACCCATGTCACATGATGTATGGACATGAGTTGATTACCCATGTTCCTTTATGAGCTAAGATGAATATGAATAAGAACTAATTTGTGGAAGTTAAGCTTAGAACCATGTGGACAAGTGGCGATTACCCATGTCCCATAATTGTGTGCAAACATAGGATTGCTTAGATAGAAATCAGATAGTGGATCAAAAATAGCTAGAAGTACATGGTACTTATTGTGGCATATAGGAAAACTGTTTACAGTGAGGAAAACACCAGATTCCATGTTGTTATATTTGATGTACCATAATTTCATGGTATTTCTAATGCATTTACTTAAGAGTTGTGTGTGTCTAGACACTTTTTATATGGGTTATAACAAGTTTTGTGTCGATTATACAGGAAAGATGTTCAGGCTTAAAATGGAGAAGACAATTGAAAAAATGTAGAAATAGACGTACGGAGTCAATCGACGAACCTTCGTTCAATCGAAGCTTTGTAGGTGAAGGTCATAGATGAGAAGCCCAGACATTGGATAAAATTAGGGAAGTCTAACCAAGTGTGGAACCACGATTAGCATCAACTCTCCGTTGATCGATCGACGAACCGTACAAGTTAACCGTAATTTGTGATTATGATGGTTCTAGTACCTGATATTTGAGGAATATAAGTATGGAGTGATGGAGAAGCATCGAAGGACCATAGATGGAATGATGAACCGTAATGTTGGTCCATCATTTCATTTAGAGAGGGTGTCATTCGAACAACAAAAATATTTTCTATGTCTTGGCTGACGGAAGCAAATAATGGGTCGTCGATCAGCCCATCAGTTGTCTCGTCAATTAAAGGCGCTTGCCTGAAGAAAACTTGTCATTTGAATTCTTTTTATTAAGACTTTGTTTTCTATAAATAGGGAATAAAGACCTCGTTTTGGGGGTTGGTAATTATTACTTTTGTTCTAGTTCTTGTTTTTTTTGAATTGTTCTTTGCAACTTTAGAAAATTATCGAATTTTAGATTCTTTTTGAAGATTTGTGTTTGAAATTTAAGCTGCAAAGTTTGGGTCTATTCTTCTTTCTAAGTAAGTTAATGATTTCTTCTTCTAAAAACATAGATTGTGATCTTACTGACATGGCTAACTAAATCCACAACTTGGGTTGTGGGAACCATGAGGGATTAACAACGTATTACTAGTAATTAAGCAATTCTTGAATATTGATTTTGCATGCATTGATAATTCTATCATTAGAAGTCTTTTTAACGAGTGCACACATAAGAACTACCCTTATGGACACTTGCCGAACCAAGGAGGTTGTTAGTAAGAAAAGAATTATCAACATAGATTTATTGTGATACTATGTAGTAGGCTAGTGTTAGTTGGTGCGAAGTAGTAACTAAGTTATACATTGATTATGATGTCTAATATAAGGTGATAGTAAGGGTTAGTAAATTATACACATGTAGCTGGACCAAGGTGCGGGTGAAATTCTCTAGATGTTGGACCAAGGATTTAGGCATACCTAATGTTTATCTGCATGCATGTACACTATGAAATGATATCTATTAATAGGAATAAATCGTTATGAACTTGTGGGGAACACACATACCCTAGTTATTTTTTCATCTAGATATCAACCAAAATTTTCTTTTGTTCACTTGATTATCTCACAATTTATGGAATTTGTTTCACAATCCCTCCCCTTTTCTTTATTACTTCAGAAATACCTTGACTAAACAATTTTCCTCATGAGATCGACTCAAACCTACTTGTTGGGTTCTTGAATTGATAATGATCGCTTACGCTTCTTTAGAGAGGTGTAATTTGAGTGTATCAAATTTTGGGACCACTGCCGGGGAAATTTGTCTTTTGGATTAATTTTAACTATATTATTGAACTTTAGTCAACTATTTCCAAATTTTACTTTTTCTTCTTGTTTTTGTCTCTCTCTGGTTTAGCTCTAGTGTATGCCAAGTACATGTAGCCGAGGGAAATCACTCACTCCTTATAATCCTGAATCAAATCAAACCTTGTGAAGGATGAAAAATCAAGGAGTCCCATGTAGTCCATACAGAAGGAATGTATGTGGTCGAGCAGGCTTGAAGCCTCTAATATTGGTCGGTGCAAAAAAACAAGGTACCCGTTGACAATAAGTTAGGAGATGCCTTTCAAAAGCAACCTCTAACATCCCCACGACCTCAGGATCATTATAGAGGCAACGTAAACATTTCAAACTCACATGGACTCTAATCCTACTCCCTTTCTTTGAGGCACACATTCATGCTGACGAGTAGCTTGTTGTAAATGCTTAATGCGGGGTGTTTACTTTCGAAAGTGCCATTGGAAGATCCACATGCTTATATAGTCAAGCTAAGGGCGGTATGCAAAAGTTGCATGGGTAGACTGGACTTGGACATGGGTCATAGGCTTGCTACTTTTCCCTCTATCACTGAAGGAGAGGCTGCTATACGGTTAACTGAGTTGCCCAACAACTCATACTATACTTAGGATCAATTGGGAGATGTGATCTTAGCAAGGTATTAACCAGTGTCTAAGAAGTTCAATCACAAGGATACGGTAAACAACTTTGTAGCACTACCTGGAGAGTCCCTGAGTAGCTCTTGGGTTAGATTCACTGCGTTCGTGAGGGGTGCCCGAATCATCTCATTGATGATGAGTCACTGAAATAGTAATTCTATAAAGGTCAAGATGACAACAATAAAGTGGTTCTTGATACTATTACTACATAATCCTATAGGGAATGCACATATGTGGAGATTACAGAATAGTTAATGAAGATGTCTTGCAACAACAAAGCTTGGAGCACTAGAAAGACGGAAACTTGGCGAAACACCGTCATTGTTCAAGCTATAAAAAATCCAGCCGCATATGAGATTCAAGAAGTAATGGTGCAGATGATAACCGAGTTGGTATTGGTATTGAAGCATGTGAGTGGAGGCGTAGAGAAGATAAATACGGTAAACTATTTCACTAGATCCCCACCACCAATAAAAGAATATTACTATACAGAGGATGAATATGTAGTTAATGATCAGACGGGGGTTTTTTGACCAAACGCACAAGGTTTCAATCAGCATAATTGGCGCCAAGGTCAAGGAAATCAACGTCAGAACTATAGAAACTACAACCAAGAGGGTCAATATGTCTGAAATGGGGACTAAAACCGCGACAACAACTTTATTCGGACCAACTATGGTAACACGAATGATCGGGTTGGGCCATATGTTCCTCCTAAAAATCGGAAGTTGTCCATTTGGAAAGATGATGAAGAGGTTTGAGGTATCTAATGTGAATGTCAAGCAGATTAGAAGTGACTTATCTAGCATTAGACAAAGGGTGGATGCACATGTAGTCTCAATAAAGCATCTTGAGATACAAATGACTCAGTTGTCTACTATAGTAAACCCACGCCAACCTGGAACTCTTCCAAGAAACACTATACAAAACTCAAAGAATGATGGGCATTGCATGACAGTCACTACTCAAGAAGGTAAACATAACACATATGTCGTCGGTAGTAGAAAGAGATATGAGAAAGGAATATGAAGTAGCAAAATATAGAGGAGAGTTAGGTGATGCACAAACAAAAGAAGTACAGTTATCGCAGAAAGTGGTCCCCATCTCTAGAAGTCCATCACAATTTCACAGAGATTAACGAAGAATACGAAAGATAGGAAATATCTCCGATCTATCACTTTGTTATAGTAGCTTTCCATCAATGTTCCGTTAGTATAAGCTTTAGAGAAAAATATCAGATATGCTAATTTTATGAATGATATGGTGACATAGAAGAGGTTGGTTCATTTTGAAGATTATGACAGAATGCAGAATTATACTTCTATTGCCACAAGGTCAGGATCTAGGCGCCTTCACTATTCTATGTACTATAGGGCTGCTACACCCAAGGATTTGTATGATCTTGGTGCGAGCATAAATCTCATGCCACCGTTAATTTATGAGAAGTTAGGCTTTGGGGATCTAAAGTCTACCACGATGATGTTACTAATGGCTGATCGAACTTTGAAGAGGCCCATAGATGTATTCCATGATGTGCTTTAGAAAGTTGAGTTGTACATCTTTATGACGGATTTTGTGACTCTTGACTGTGAGGTTCATTTTGAGGTCCCATTATTCCTGGGAGACCATTCTTTCCACTGGGCATTGATATACCGTGGTTTCACGGTATAATTAATACTTTTCCCCTAAGTTTAGTGTGTCCGAAAGCCCTTTTTGTGCTAATTTTGATATAAGTTTTTCTTTGTTTTGCAGGAAATCTGTCTAAAGCTGAATGCGGATATTTTTAGCGAAAAATTTAGAAGAGACCACCTACGGAGCTTATGACGGTCCATCGTGCTTGTGACGGTCCGTAGGTGGCAGCGTAGAGAAGCTGCTGAAGGAAGATGGGGAAGTCTGACCAACTGTGGGATTACGAAGCTTGTGATGGTCCGTCATGGATATGACGGTCCGTCCTGCAGGTTCGTCGCGAAGATCAGAGAAGTGATCCCAGTACCCAAATTCAAAAAGTTGAAGTATTTTGTAACGAATACCCTCGACGGACCGTCGTGCTTGTGACGGTCCGTCACACTTGCCGTCGAGGGGAATGAAGAAAGTAGCAGAAGAATTGCACCCAAGTATGGGGCGACGGAGCCCACGACGGTCCGTCATGACCACGACGTTCCGTCGCGTGGTCCACCAACCCAGCCGCGTTTTGGCAGATTTCCAGTAATTAGAATCCTTGTTTAATTAGGTTTTATTTTTTATAAATAGTTCGAAAAGCCTCGTTTTTGAGGTTAGACTCTGGGAGATTTAATATCAGATTATTAGACTTTGTTTTTCTGAGTTTTTGATTGTTGGAGATTCTTACAAGTAAGTCTTGTTGATTAATCAAGCAAATTTTCTGACTTTATTCTTT